AACACTGAGACCACACTTTGAAAATTGAAGCTGTGGTCACCTAGACCCTTGAAAGCCACAGAACACCAGTGTTGTTTGAACACCCATCATAAAGCAGATGAAGTTCCTACTTGAAAAATGTCCTAGGCGAGCTATAGACAGGAGTCACTTAGAAGTGTTTCAGGTCACTTTAAAACCTCTGAAATCAGAGGTCTCTTAACTTCTCATATGGACAGATAATTACATGTGTGTTTGTGTAGCCCCAGAGTCATTGAAAGGGGACCCAGAATTGCTACTTCATTCCCACTGAGTTATGAGCAGAAGGCTTTATGACTGAGATGGAATCTGAGTAGCTTTAAATGATACCGTTCCGTGTGTGGGGCTGAGAAGAGGCTAGCGTGAGGAGGGTGTCGCAAGGCCTGCTGGGGAGTTCAGATTCCATCCTGTAGGTGGTATTGCTATCAGTCAGCCCAGGGTTCTACTGAGTAATCTGAACTAGGAATTATCAAGAGGCAAGCAATGCCAAGCAAGCCAAGTGGCAAGGGGGAAGGGCGGTGGTCTAGCCGGCGTTCCTGTATTGGTGCAATGAAGCTGTCTCTGCTCTCAGCCCTGACGTCCATGCTTGGCTACATACTCATGTATCCTCAGGTGCTCTGTGCTTGGTGTGCAGAAAGACGGCACATGGCTCCTTAGGAATGTCATTTAGTAGCCAGTGGGCATTCTGTACATGTAGAGATTGAGGAAGATGCTACAAGCTTGGCAGGAAGCCATAATGCCTGGCCCTGGTTATCTGCGACTATGTCCTGTTGAAACAGCTCCTATCAGGGGGACGGCCTTGGGGAGGGGTTCCCAGACACCTTGAAACAGCCCAAAAATGGAGGCCATTTTTAGCGAACTGAGTTTTCATTTTACAAAGGACTTAAGAGAAAGCTTTTAACTGTTGGGCACACAGTTATATACCACTGTTTGCTGGCTCCCTCCCTTCCTCCCTCCCTCTCTTTTTTTCTGTTTTCCTTTTTTTGTTTTGTTTTGTTTTGGTTTGGTTTTTCGAGATAGGGTTTCTCTGTATTGCTTTGGAGGTTGTCCTAGAACTTGGTAGACCAGGCTGGTCTCGAACTTACAGAGATCTGCCTGCCTCTTACTCCCAAGTGCTGGGATTAAATACATACACCACCAAAGCCCAGCTCTTTCCTTCTTTCTTTTTTTTCCTTCAAGACAGGATTTCTCTGTATAGCCCTGGCTGTACCGGACCTAGCTCTGTAGCTCTGTACACCAGGCTGGCCTAGAACTCAGAGATCCTCCTGCCTCTGCCTCCTGAGCACTGGGATTAAAGGTATGCACCTGGCTAGATTTTTAGTTTTTCAAATTGTGAGTTAAATGAACTTCCTTATAAGATTTGGGAGCACTGGGCGTTGGTGGTGCACGCCTTTAATCCCAGCACTTGGGAGGCAGAGGCAGGCCGATCTCTGTGACTTCGAGACCAGCCTGGTCTACAAGAGCTAGTTCCAGGACAGCCTCCAAAGCCACAGAGAAACCCTGTCTCGAAAAACAAACAAACAAAACAAACAAACAAACAAAAAAGATTTGGGAGCCTCAGTGACAAGACACTGACTAACATAACAAACCTATCTGCTTACTTTAGCAGAACATAATAGAAAGCATTATGCTGCTAAAAATCTGGAAGTTACTTAGGATCCATTGTTCCCAGAACATCCTGTCCCACGTGGGTCAGGTCATCTGTCTTCCTTGGGCTACAGCCTTATGCATGCGCATGGCTCGGTCACAGGGATCTGGTTTACCGAGGACACATCAAAGTCTCCAGGGGGTGATCTTGGTGAGGAAGAGAACAAACCCATGAGCACTTCTGGTTGATAGACTAGTGTTGCCACATAAGGCAGGGGGCAAGACTTTACTAAGGCAAAGCCAGGTGTGGCGGCACACTCACTTGTCATTTCAGTGCCTGGGAGGCTGAGGCAAGGCAGCCAAGAGTTCAAGAGCAACTTGCGTTGCATGGTGAGTTTGAGGCCAGCTGGGCTGCGCAAGATCCTGTCTTCAAAACAAACCGCAGCAACAACAACAAAAATCTGAACGCCAAACGATACCCCTCCCTCCCCCCAAGAAGCCTGACTATAGTTAGTTAGGAATGAGGTTGTTTTTTGGTGGGTTCCAGAGTTGAGAGGACAAATAGGAAAAGCTTTCACAGGGGACCTCAGAGGGAAACCTAGAAAGCACCCTAACAGGGGAGAAGAGCAGAACGAGGGGTCCTAAAACAATGACGGAGCAGGAGGGCGTTCTGTCTGCCCATGTCCTGCTTCTGTCTGTGCACGCCCTACTGGGCACAGTCCTCTCTGAAGATACTGCAGGAAGTAACAAATGGAAACCACGCCTGGGCTTCAGAAGAAACACACTTCCGTATGGAGGATCAAATCCTCCTTGTCATTGAACATGTAAGTGCCAGTGAAAGCTGGGCGCGGCTTTGGCCAAAGTGTCTGCAGCTGAGTTGTTCTCAGCCAAGCAAACCTGAACATAGAGGAGGTATTGTGCCCCAGCTGGACACTGTGGCCTGTCCCCTATCTGCCCACACAGAACTGACTGTCCTTGGATGCTGAAGCCAGGAGAGATATCGACACAAAAGAGATTCTGAATAGGACCTGGGTGACCTGTCCACACGGGCTACTTTTTGATCAATTCAGTCCAGAAAAGTAGGCCTCTGTAAGCCCGCACCTGCTTGATACCAAGTTCCTGCCACTCTGGGCAACATAATGAATTGCAAGCCTGTTTTGACTCCAGGGTTTTAGAGCTGGTCTGTTTGTGGGCCTTGCTTTGGAATTCTCGCCACTTCAGGGCCAAGCAGCTTCCGTCTGGCTTGACTGGGAATAAAAGCCAGACGATGACAACGGTCTGATGGGAAAATGGAAAGAGACATTGGTCAGATGTGAAAAGTCATCATGAGAGATGACAGAGGATTGAAGATGTTGAATGACTTGTTAAGACTGGTTTTTGGGCAGGGCAGTGGTGGCGCACGCCTTTAACCCCAGCACTTGGGAGGCAGAGGCAGGCGGATCTCTGTGAGTTGGAGATCAGCCTGGTTTACAAAAGCTAGTTCCAAGACAGCCTCCAAAGCCACAGAGAAACCCTGTCTCACCACCCACAAAAAAGGGCTGGTTTTTGGGGCTGGGCGTTGGTGGCCCACACCTTTAATCCCAGTACTGGGAAGGCCAAGGCAGTCGGATCTCTGTAAGTTTGAGGACAGCCTGGTCTACAGAGCTCTACAGAGTGAGTTCCAGGACAGCCTCCAAAACAATACAGATAAACCCTGTCTGGAAAAAAAAAAAAAAAGAAGAAGAAGAAGAAGAAGAAAAAAGACTGGTTTTCGGGGGGCAGGGGGCGTTGAGAGATGGCTCAGCAGTTAAGAGCACTGGCTGATCTTCCAGAGATACCGAGTTCAAATCCCAGCTCCCATATTCCAGTCTCCCACATGGCAGCTCACAACTATCTAACTATAACTGTAGTTCCATGGGATCCAATGCCCTCTTCTGGTGTGCAGATGTACATGCAGACAAAACATCCGTATACATAAAATACTTAAACAAATACATCTGAAAACTGGCTTTTGGGCCAGGCGGTGGTGGTGCACAACTTTAACCTCAGCACTCCGGAGGCAGAGACAGGTGGATCTCTGAGGCCACTCTGGTCTATAGAGCGAGTTCCAGGACAGTCAGGGCTGCACAGAGAAACCCTGTCTTGAAAAACCAAACAACCAAACAACCACCAAAACCTGGCTTTTGTTTTGTTTGAGACAAGGTCTCACTTAACCCAGGCTGGCCTGGAACTTTCTGGGTAGTGCAGTATAATCTTGAACTTCTGGTCTTCTCCCTGCCTGGAATTAAGGGCACATACCAACTTAAGGGTTAATGACTTGCAAGAAAGAACTTCAAAGGAGCTGAGAAACTCCAGACTCAGCATACTGATGAGAACACCTGCCCGACAAGAGAGCCAGCCGGGTAAGGAGAACATCTGCTGACGTCACTGGGCCTGGAAACGACACACAGTGCACATCTGCAGAAAACACTTCCCTCCCGCAACGGTCTTCTTTTGCCCTATAAAGCCCCAAGCCTCCGTGCTTGGGTGCACAATCCCCACTCCCTCTGAGACTGCTCCCCTTCATTCCTCTGCTTAAAGCACAATTCTGTGTATCTTTAGTTTCCATGTTGCCTGGGTCGATCCAGACCTAACACGCACCATCCCCGGGGCTTATACGGAGTGGGGAAAGCGTCGAACTCAGAGCTTCAGGCGTGTGCTCTGCCAAGGGAGGCACATCCCAGTCCAAACCGGGCTGTTGCTGTTCAAAAACAAATGTTACAATCAGAAGCAGCAGTAAATTTAGGTCACTCCCCAAAGCTGACATTTCTAATGAAGCCGCCATCCCAGAGGCTTGAGGTACACAGAGTCTCACAAGAGAAGACGGCCCCTCTGTGCGAGCTGCAGCCTCAATTTCCTAGGAGAGGAGTCTGGAGAAGGGCTGTCAGCCCCCATTCTGGCTCTGCCTCTGCCTGAGCTCCTGCCCACACAGCTGTAGGGTTTTCGATGTCGAGGCCGGGGGCTTCCTCTCCAGGGTGCGCCCTTCCTTTCCCGGGCTCTGGCACGCCAGTTTTGGAAGCAGGAACAAACGGCTGCTTCTCGGATCGGCTTTCCCTCCACACAGAAAAAGGCACAGCAGGGCAAAGCGAAGGATTGGAAGGGAGCGATTCGAAGCCCGGGTAGCAGACGAGGCAAGTTAACCCTTTCCTCTACGCATCCCGGTCCTCGCCGCCTTCTAGAATCGAGATGTCGGTGTCACTTCACGGCGGGGCTACCCAGCGACTTGGAAGCGCCTTCTTAGGACCACAGCCAACAGGATAAACTGTACGAATGGCTCTTTATGACGCGATGGGTCGTGGGTTCAGGTCTCCCATGGCTGGTGGTGTCCGACCGGGCGCAGATCTGATCGCGGGAGGGGGCGGTCTGCCCGCAAGTCCCGGGTTGGGTGGCCCCTGGAGGCGGACGCCGACCGGACCCGGGCGGAGCCGAAGCCCGGCGGCTAGGCTAGACTCGACGCGCCGGGAGGAGCCGGCCGGCGGCACGTGACCGACCGCGGAGGCCGCGGCCCAGAAATAGCCGCGGCGACAGTTCCGCCCCGCGGCGGGCGAGCCAGAGCCCTGGGAGACGGCAGGACGCAGGCTGGGCCCGGTGCGGCCCGGACGATGCTGCTGAGCCCCGGCCCGGCCCGGCCCAGAGCACATGATGGCGATACGGGAGCTCAAAGTGTGTCTTCTCGGGGTGAGTCTTGGCTCCGTCCTGCGGGGATCCCGGCTCCCCCGCGCGCGCCTTTGTCCCGGCGCTCCTTCCCGCCGGGTCCCAGCTGCTCCCGGGCGGTCTCCGATTGCTCCGTCGGCGCTCGCGCGTCTGCGAATCTTGGGCCTCGCTAGGTTGGGGGGCGGGCAGGGTAGGTGGCTGTCGGGGGCCAGACGACAGCCGGCCCTGCAGCCCCTCGGGGCCCCTGGGGCTCTCGCTTCCACCACGATGGTTCCCTCCCTGAGGAATGTTGAAGTTACTCCGCCGAGGCTCTCGTTTTCCTCTGCGTCCCGTCCCGCGGGGGCGGCTGGTGGCAATTGCTTTATCCACTCAGAAAACAAACCCAACAGATCAATCCTTCCCAACGAGGGTGGGAGAACCGCGGGCTTGGTCTGAGCGGAAAGAACGAACTATGTGTGAACCGTGTCCAACACACTTTTCGTGCCCTGGATGAAAAGAAGCAGAACGGCCTCCTCCCCCTTCTCATCACTCTTCCCCTTCCAAAACGAGTCTTCCTTAGTCCCAAGTAACAGAAGCAGTCAGAAACAAAGGAGGAAACAGCATCCGTCCCGACCCGTGCGACCGCGGACCAGACCACACCAGACAGACTGCTGACCGCACCAGGTTGTCCCTTGAAAACTGTCCCAGGGGATTGACTCAGTGTCTGGGGGTCACTTCCTTGGGGCTTACCCACATCAAATTCCGGAAATCTTCCAAATTTAGAGTTGGTGTTAAGCCATGTTTTCTGTAGCCTTTGGCATCGGCACGGGTTGTACGGCCCTTGACGTTGGCAATTCTGGCCCTGCAAGGAAAGTGTTTCCCAAATAAAAGAGCAGGGCAGAGCAGGGCAGGTTCTTCTCAAAGAAACGTGAGTGGGTCTGTCAAGATGGATGTGGGAGTGTGGACAGGCTGACTGTAGACTAGGATCGAACTTACCTTGTGTCTTCATCTGGGTGGGCTTCCATGGACCCTTTGGTGGAAGAGTCTTGGGAACGGACCCCCCCCCCCTCACCGGTTGCTGTGACTGGTGGGGAATCCCAGGGGGCCCCGACAAAGGCCCTTTCTTCCTCTTTAGTTGTCCAGGGAGGCTTCCCGTGGCCTCCTCAGCCTTGGAGGCTACACAGGGTGCTGTTCTTGCCTTTCTCTCTTAAACTTCCGGTGTTAAAGCAGTAAACTTCGTGTCTTCCCGGCTGTCCAATATAGTCTAGACCTAAATCCCAAGGATCCATGGGAGAAAGGGCCTTTGAAGATTTAAAAGGAAAGCCAGGTCCCAAAGGAAGAAGAGGAGGAAGCTTGGGTGCATGGGACATGTCACCACTAACCTCGGGAAAAGATGAAATAGGAAACATTTTTGGTTCTTGGGGGTGGGTGACACCTTCTCCTGTGCAACCTACCTAGGGGCACACTCATGGTCCCAAGACATCACCCTTAGTTTGTAGTTCCATCGTCTGTATGTCCTAGTGGGCAGTGACCAGGACCGGAGGTTGGGGGCCTGGTCTGTCTTCTATGCCAGGGTCTGGAGGGGCTGGATGAGTGCCTGAATTGTAGAGTGGACACTTCAGCCCCCTCTCTTTGAAGACAGAGGACTACACTGGATGACCTCTTTAAGATATATGTGTGACTCTGGTTTTCTCTCTCTCTCTCTCTCTCTCTCTCCTTCCTCCCTCCCCTCTCTCTCCTCTCTCCAACTCCACAAACATGCAGTCTCCACCAGCTTCCTGGAGGTGGTGCCTTATTTGTGAAGGGCTTACAGACAGGAATTTGAACTGTGGGGTGGAAGATTCTATAACAGGGAAAGAAGTAATTTCTGGAAATTTTGAAACTTCCTTCATATGACACCACATTGGCGTCATCCTGGTTTTGAAGGCAGCTATGCATTTTAGTCTTACTGAGAAGATATTTTATCGCAGAGAGCAGAAGAGCGTGTCCACACTAAGTACTAGTCTTCAGGCTCCCTGGCTTGACTGGTCCTTTTCTGGGTCCGCCTGCGTTTCTAGCTGCTTATCTAAAATAGGCTGGCTGTCTCTATGAGATGGCGCCTGAAGGAGGTCTAGAGCCCTGGCATACCGTCTGGATTTGAGAGATCCACTGGGCTTGAAGAGGGGTGAGGGAGTGAGCCCCACGGTCATTTGAGTATTTTAGTAGCAATCCTAGGGCCTCTCTACTGTCGTCTGTCCTGGGTGAAGTAGTACATGTAGATGGTAGTCAGCTATGCCACACCTCCCTGAAATCTTAGTATGATCAAGACCCAGCCAGCTTTACCCTCAGTTATGGAGACGGTGATAGAGTATATTTACCACCTCGCAAAGCCTCACCCTTGCTGGAGAGGCTTGGTGGCTAGTCTGTGCTTAATCACTTGTTGGAAGACATGCTCCCTGCTCAAGGCACAGGCTGTTTTCAGGATGGGTCCCTACTGGTTCCTCTTTGCTATAGTCTCAGGCTCCTGCCCTTGGGTCGGAGGATTCATTGTGACAAGTAGAAGTGTGAGTGGGCCAGGTGGCATGGTCTCTACCTGTCCCTGTGCTCTCTAGAACGTAGATGCTCCTACTGTTTACTTGGTGTGTCTGACTATTCCTTTTGATGAATGCTCCAAGTTGGATTGGCATTAAAACACTGAACATTCTCTGATAGCTGTTTGGTTTTTTTTGGGGGGGCAATTAAGATAAGTTTTCTGTGTGAAACAGTTTTGGCTATCCTGGAACTAGCTCTGTAGACCAGGCTGGGTCAAAATCACAGAGATCTGCATGCCTCGGCCTCCTGAGTACAAGTGCTGGGATTAAAGGTGTGTGCCACCACTTCCCGGCATTGTATTGGCTGGTTTTATGTCAGCTTGATACAAGCTAGAGTCATCAGAAAGGAAGGACCCTCTATTGAGAAAATGTCTGCATAAAACATAGCAGTAGAGCATTTTCTTAGTGATTGATGGGGTAGGGCCGGGCCCACTGTGGGTGGGGCCATCCCTGGGCTTGGTGGTCCTGGGTTCTGTAAGAAAGCAGGCTGAGCAAGCCATGGAGAGCAAGCCAGTGAGCAGCTCCCCTCCATGGCCTCTGCATCAGCTCCTGCCTCCAGGTTCCTGCCCTGTCTGAGTTCCTGTCCTGACCTTTGATGAGGAAGTGTAAGCCGAATAAACCCCTTCCTCCCCAATTTCCTTTACGGTGTTTCATTGCAGCAGAAGAAACCTAAGTAAGACACCTAGTGATGTTGAAAGTCGAGGGCTCAAGCACATCATTTATTTGTTACCTGATAGACGTCTGTGGGCTTTCTCATGTTTACACCACAGGCACAGTGCCAGCCTTTGTGAATGCCCTTCCCCGGGGTCAGTGGGCACACTGTGGAAGCTAGCCATGTTAGGGGTTGGGGCATGTGGCCAGGGGCTAGTGGACACTCAGGACCTAATAAGCCACAGTTTTGCCAGTAATGTGCCAGGCTATTACACCATGGAATCTGTACCAGTGTTATGAAACAGGATGCTTAAAAACAAGCCCCCCCCCACGTACATTTTCAACCATGAACAAAAACAGTATTGCAGCAACTGTCTGAACCTCAAAGGTGGAGAGCTTCCCGGCACATATTTTTACACACACACACACACACACACACACACACACACACACACACACACACGGAACCATGTGGCAAGAGCAGGGGATGGATGGAGACTGGAGACAGAGAGGAGACAAGGAGGGGGAGGGGTAGCCTATTTCTTTTGGGCATGTGTGCTTAAAAAACTGCTTCCGGATGGGATCCCGAAGAGGTTTGTATTTGTGCTTTGGTTGTCTTGACAACAATTTAGAGATCTCTGCTACTTCCTTAGCAGCTGAGTGAGAAGTTAAAACACAACGGAGGGCTTCCCTGCTTCTGGTGGGGACTGGTGGAAACCTCTGTCCATGGCCTTTGTTTGTGTCTATATGGTGTGTCACCAAAGAGCGTGCACACACCCAGGATTTTGCGAGACAGCTGGGTAGTGGGAATGAAGATTTGTGCAGGGCTTGTCCAGGGTAGGGCTCTGTGAATCCAAGGGCACTAGGACCCAGAGTGGGCAGCCTACTCTCACCACAAAGCTGGTTGATGGGAGCTCTGTGACGTCTAAGGGACTGCTCTGAGCAGCTCTCTCTACTGCCAGCATCTGTGTGGAAGTCACTGGGAACCCAGCATAGAAGTATGGGTTACACTAGGTAGTTACAGTCTTAAGTCTGCTTTCCGTTTCTTTGTAACAAAATACTCCAGGCTGGACACTTTGGGAAACAAAGATCTGCTTTATCGCTCTGGTAACTGTAGAGTCCCTGGCCCTCTGACTGTATCAAATGTGTGGGGAGGAGATATTAAAAATGGTGGAGACTTGGTGTGGCCAGTGGAAGAGAGGTTGTGTTGGGAGTGGAATCCCCATTTTTCTCTCTCAAAGCCTTACACTAAGGGACTGCTCAAATGGTTTTACGAGACAGGGTTTCTCTGTATTGTTTTGGAGACTGTCCTGGAACTCGCTCTGTAGACCAGACTGGCCTCAAACTCACAGAGATCCGCCTGCCTCTGCCTCCCGAGTGCTGGGGTTAAAGGCGTGCGCCACCACCGCCCGGCAATGTGTCTCACGTAACTTACACCATCTCTCCATACATCACAGGACAGTTCTAGCATCAATGTGGTCTATGGATGCCAGTTTCTGTGCACACAGCTGGTCTGGCCCCCTGATGAGTGACCTTTCTGCCTGGGGCAGGGACAGAATTTACCTTACCTGCTTCTTCAGGCAGAGCTGGTGCAGTACTCTACCTCATAGGTGCTCACAGGAGGCCAGCGGCCTGCTCATCACCTGTCCTCACATCTAAGGAGGCAATAGTCAGCACCCACTGTCACACTGCCACCTCCCGCCCTCCTTGTCACACTGCCACCCCCCCACCCCGTTCTAGTTCCCTTTTGCTGCTCTGATAAACGGTGCTCTGACCAAAAGCAATTTGGGGCAGAAAGGTATTTTTTAGCTTACACTTCTAGGT